CTATCTATCTATCTATCTATCTATCTATCTATCTATCTATCTATCTATCTATCTACATCCACTATGCTGGACCCTATCGGAGATGGACGTAAAATTCGAAATCCTATCTATTGATAATCTTACATCTATATTTGAATGAGGTGTGAAAGTTTAACCTAATCAGCCATAATTATAACTAAGTCAGAGGATGGTTGGCAGATGCTCTTGTGTGATTTGCTCCTTCTAACCTGTCAAACATCTATCGTCCTTATCTTTCTTTCTCTTTTATGTGTATATTACTCTGTAATAACGCCTCTGATCTTCAGCACTTACATGACCTATTTGCATTGCAAGTGCTGTAAAACTACAACTAAAACTAAAACTATATATCTAGGTCGGTTGTACTTGTTGTTGTTTTTTCCCCAGTACCAAGTTATGTCCCATGTCCTGACGCCATGCCACTTTGCTTTCAGGACAAAGAGGCATGCAAACCAGGAAAATGATAGGCTATGAACAGATATATTGAAATCATTTAATGTATAGATTATTTATATGAATTGTGTAATGAAGTATGTTGTTTTAGTAGGCTAATCGAATATTTAATCATCATGGACAATTGCCTACTGCCCTATAGTGCGCCACTAGTAGGTCCTACTTCTTTACTTACCCCCTGTTGTTTCTGTCTATCTGTCTTACTTTTCTCAACACTAACTAAATGATAATTATTGTGCCAATGTACTTCTCTTTACTCAAACAAACAAAACAAACCCAATCTGTTTCATAGTACCATGCTTTATTTCAAATTAACACACTACTCTGCTGCAGCATCATGTCTTTGGATTCAGCTAGATCTAATACTAACGCAGACGAAAGCAGTCTTCGTCGTTAAAGAGTGACACAAAGAAAACAAAAACAGAAACATAATACGAAAAAAACCCAATTCATGTTATATTATCTGCAGTCAGAAGTGTGGCGCTATATCTCTCACGTTGTTGGCTTCATGCTTGTTCGAAATTATGTGGATAGAGTTAAAGGAGTTTAAGAATGTGATTACCAAGAGTTTTCAGAGGATTCAAGAGAATATCTCCCTTTAGTATTCAACAATTTAAGATAATTATTACCATCTCTGTCTCTAAAGAGCTAAAGAGGGGAAGTGCCATTAGTTTCCACCGAATTTAAGACTGAAATTGCCTTCAGTCTCTTGAGAGTTAAAGAGAGAAATTGCCATAAGTCTCTAATGAAAGAGAGAAACTGCCACCAGTTTCTTAAGATTTTAAGGGAGAAATTGCCATCAGTCTTCATAGAGTTAAAGAGAGAAATTATCATCAGTCACAATGTACATATGTACTTAAAAAGAAAAAAATATCATCAGTCTCAATGTGGTTAAAGAGAAACATTATCATCAGTCTCAATAGCTTTAAAGAGAGAAATTGTATTATAGTAAACAGTCAAAGAGAGAAATTATCACTGGAGTCTAAAGAGTTAAAGAGAGTATTTTACGTCAGTCTCTAAAGGGTTAAAGAGAGCAATTACCATCCGTCTCAGAGATGAGTCCGTTGGGGTCGCAGACTGAGGAGACGTTGTAACGACCACACAATCTTTGCTGGTCCTGGTTCAGGGAATGGGGGTCAGGGTACTCGAACACAGACCACTCCCTCGGGATGCCGTCTCGGTACCGTGACCTCTGACCCGACGCCAGAGGTACGAGGGTCAGCCCCGCGCAGGCCACGAGGGTCAAGGTGAGGAGAGTTGGGCTGGACATTGCAGCTGATTGGAAAACCTGGGGGGGGGGGG